AGAGAGAGAGAGAGAGAGAGAGAGAGAGAGAGAGAGAGAGAGATTGATTTTCAATCAATTTTGTAGACAGATGAAGAAATCACTTCCAGAACTTTTGTCCAAATGTGTTGCATGCATTAATCCTGGCTGATAGGAGCAAAGACTGTTGTGTGTTTTTTCCTGCCAGAGTTCCACTTATCATCCAATTGACAATACTGGAGAAAAGGAAAAGGAATGGGGTTGGGAAGGCTTAAAAAACTCCACATACTAGCAAAACTCAAAAAGTTGTGCTTGCTACTCAAGAAACTTCCAACTCAGCTGCAGGGATCTGCCAAATTCCTTGGCACAAGTTTGTTCAAGAGGCAGCCAACCAATTTGCCTACTTCTTAATTTGGGAATAGGATATTCCTGTTCATCCAGGTCTCACAGAGCCAGTTATACTGTGCAATATGACCAGGCCCAGCCTTCAGGTAAGGTGGAAGTGCAATGTTCAGAAGCCGCTCAGCTGCCTTACCTGAGAATCTGTTAGCTGAAAATGGTCCTTGAAAGCCATATACACCAAGAAGGAATTGACTCCTATTAGAAAGAGAGACTGAGAAGTGAATCACCATTCCATATACAGAGGAATCTACGTGTAAGAATAGCAGTGCTGGGGTGTATGTCTTGCCTAGACCTGATGCCCATCAGTCATGTTCAAATGCAACTTCCACTGGATGTAGATTTGTGCAAACTGACCTCCAACAAGTGTGGAGAGCACCAGTCAGTTGCTGCAGTCTGGGCAAATCCTATCCCATAATAGTTCTAATATGCACCAGTTCAGAATGCTAGAGAAAGCAGTGTCCAAGGCGTGAAGGAAACCATCAGATCGTTTTTCACAGGTAGGCATCACCTAATAAAGTTGTCATCAACTGATGGAGCTGATTTACTTTTTGCCCATGATCCCTAACAAAAGCTCATGATGGGAGTCCTAATTGCCCCAAACCAGTGACAATTATAAAGCAAGACCAGAAGTAGCAAAGAAAAGAAAGTGCAAAGCCATTCTTTTCAGATGACATTCAACTGCTGACTCATTTGCAGTTGCTACAGCTACATTCTGCAGAGTCTAACAGCTGTTGCCACATCCCACTCCTGACAGCAAGATAAATGATCTGCATGCTGGTCCTCACATAACCAAAGCCTTCATCCATGGTCAAAAGGGAGAGATCAACAGAGCCTCAGGCTTAAATACAAGGGAAAAACACAGACTCGAACAAAATTCAAAGGCTACCTTCCCAGCAATGCACGGGAGACTAGCATTTTCAGAAGGCACAGGAAGTGTCAGGGGGATTTGTGAAAAAAAAAAAGGTAGGGGGAGAGTGGAACAGATTATTTGGAGCTCTTATAAATTGCACCCTGCAATGTTTTGTTGCAAGAAGCATTAACTACTATCATCAGCTTTAGGCTTGATATAATCTCAATTATTGCTTTATTTACCGGTGCAGGTTTGCACGGCTGGCATCAGAGAAGTCGTGATGAGCTTTCAGGCTGAATGGCCGTGGTCTCATTTTCTTTTGTTCTGACCTTTCGCCAGCAGCTGTGCTCGGCCCGTGAGCTGCCGAGAGGTATACCACAAAGCAACTCACCCTGCCTCTGAAGATGCCAGCCACAGCTGCTGGCGAAAGGTCAGAACAAAAAAAACCGAGGCCATTCAGCCTGAAAGCTCTTCAATGTTTTATTGCTTTATTGGTCAGCAGGTCTGTTCATCCAGTTTTGAGCAAGGGGGAATACTCCTACCAGGAGAAATTGGAAAGTACATTTTTAGACAACAAAATTAGGACACAGCTGGCTTGGTACTAGCTTAGAATATGACTATTGTACAGGTACTCAAAAATTCTCAGGACTTACCATGATCCTTAACCAAGGCCTCCATCTCCTCCTGAACCCCTTTATGCCACTCTGTGATATCCACATGCAAAGAGTAATCACAGCAGGACTTGCTGTCTGCCCATTCTCGCCACTGATCGAATGCAGAGATCAAACTGGTGCCTGGCTCAGGAACAACGTGATCAACTGAAGAAAGAAAAGTGAGACATGTCCAACCGTTAACTCACACTCACAAGGTCTAGAGTCACAGGATTCTAAATGTGGAAGGTGAGTACTGTAGAACATCTAATCCTGCCTGCTAGATGTGTCGGGAACAAACTCCAAGAATTCTGCAACCAACACAGAACAGGCACCATGGTTCAAGGATTCTGGGAACTGAAGTCCAACACATTCAGAGGACAGGGCACCAGATTGCAGAAGACAGAGAAGCCAACATCCTGCTTCATGTAGAGGGAGTCCTTGGGTTATGACCATTTGTTCAGCAACCATTCAAAGTTACGACAGCACTGAATGAGCGGTACTTATGATGGGTCCTCATTGTTCCAGCCGTTGCAGTGTCCCTGCAGTCACGTGATTGCAATTTCTTACATTGCCTGCTGGCTTCCCACAAATAAAATCAACGGGGACACTGGTAGGAAGTCGGAAGTCGGGGTGATGTGAGGTGCTCATTTAACGATGGCAACTGGGACTGCCATTATTGCTGTTGCTAAGCAATGTGGTCATGTGATATCATGATTTATAACCACATTGCTCAATGACAGCAATTCCAGTCCCAATTGCTGTTGTAAGCTGAGGACTGCCTGTACCAATTGCAGAGAAAAGTAGATGGCTATCAAGGAGGGAAAGCCATCCATACCATTTAATTCCTATCACTGGCCATCAAGACATTTCTACAAACATTTACCTTAAATATACCCACCTTTAGCTTAAACTCATTGGAAATTGTCCTGCTTACCAAGACCATGTGAAATCCAAGTTTTTGTAACATACCATCCGCCTTCTCTTTTCCAAGCTAAACATATGGCTTTTAATTTAGAAAACTGTTTCTCAATCTTATTAATAATGTTTAAAGCAGCTGTCCCTTCAAAAGATCATAAAAATAAACAAAACATCAGAACAATAAGTACTAGAAAGAGCAAGAGACCCATTCAGAAGAAGAGAAGGAGAAGACTCAGGCACAACACTGAGCTCCTTTGACCATTCAAGGCTGCATTAAGCCAAGACCAGCACCATGCATTAAATCTGATCAGCCAGATGCCAGCTATTGATGAAAAATAATTTACTGTTTGGAAAACACATTTAAGTGCTACACAAATCAAATTCCATGAGAAAAGCAGACATTAAAGCCCTGCAGGTCTTTTGTAGCTTCACAGCAGCATCAACAATAGCAAACTGGCATATTTAAAATCAGGACTAGGGGTGGGAACTCAATCCAGCTCCAGGGATGGACTAATTGCTCTACAGCTCTTCAATTTGAAGGTGAGAAGCTCTTCCCTCCTAAAATCTCAACCCTATATTACTATTGCAGGCACTGCAAGTTAATTTCCTGTAAGAGTTGGTTCTCACCATCAGTGGTAGAAGATGGTCCTTGGAGAAGGGGAGAGATCTCACTAGAGGACTCAAGGATGAACTTGTTTTTACCTTATGCAATAAATTATGGAGTTTATTTCCAAAGTGATTATGACCACCATCATTCATTCTATTGGTCTTAAAAGGAGACTGGACAAGTTCATGGAGGACTGGGTAATCCATAGCGAGTAGGCTTGATGGCCGTTTACTACCTCGATTCACAAGCAGCATGCTTTGAATTTCAGCTTTTAGGAAGGAGTAATGTAGAAGACTATTAACCTGCCAGCCATGCTTCTGAGTTTTCAGGATGCACTGGGATAGCCACTGTGCAACACAGAATCCTGGACAAGATGGCCTGATGCAGCAGGTTGTGTATTTATTTATTTATTTGTTTGTTTATTTTTCAAATTCAGATACCACCCATCTCACAAAAAGTGACTCTGGGTGGTTCACAATAAAACAGCAATAAATATTAAAATACAATAAAAACAATAAAAAATACACATTCTCACAAAAAGTGACTCTGGGTGGTTCACAATAAAACAGCAATAAATATTAAAATACAATAAAAACAATAAAAAATACACATTCTCACAAAAAGTGACTCTGGGTGGTTCACAATAAAACAGCAATAAATATTAAAATACAATAAAAACAATAAAAAATACACATAAAAATAGAATAAAAACCAAACACATACACAGATAATATCTTCCAAGTTGTTGATGGTCAGTAGGATGTTAACATATGGGAGCAACTTCAGGGTACTAGCCCCCCCGGGGTTGGTTGCCCTTTTGGCAGAGCCAGGTCTTGACTGCTTTCTGGAAGGACAAGAGAGTTGGGGCCTGCCTCACCTCTGGGGGAAGAGTATTCCATAGGGCGGGGGCCACAGCAGAGAAGGCTCTCTTTCTGGACCCCGCCAGTCGACATTCTTTCATCGACAGGATCCACAGCATACCCTCCCTGCCTGACCAGGTGGGACAGGTAGATATAATGGGGGTGAGACGGTCCCTCAGGTAACCCGGTCCCATGTCATGTAGGGCTTTAAAGGTGATAACCAAAACCCTGAATTGGACCTGGATGTATGTAGGAATCTGCTGGACTGAATTAAACCCACGGGATGGAAGTTATCCATTTCTGCTCTAGGTGGATACAACAAAGAGGACTGTTAGATCGAAGTTTGAACTGTTGTGCATTCCTCTTAACACAGAGTATACATATTAGTTCCTAGCAGATCTCTCACACGGTCCTCCTATCCTGCTTTCTACAACGATCCCAACCTGTTCACAACTGCTCCCTCTAGACCCAGTGGAGTCTTGCCTTGTGGAGGGAAGTAATTCAGTGGCAGAGCATGCTTTCTGCTGCAAAAGGTCTTGGGTTCAATCTCCAGGTTCTCCAGGTAAGGCTGAAGAAAGAGCTCTTTCTTCAAACTGCTGCCTTGGCAGTGATGTTACTCACAGGAATGTGCTCATCAGCCAAAATCAGATTTGTCAATTTGTCAACTGTTTCAAATTTATCTGGAAAATCCCCTTCTCTGCTTTTGGCTAAAATCAAGTGTGGTGTGTCGGTGTGGGTGTAGTGTAATATCTGGAACACCAATTCAAAGTTCAGCATTGATTTTGCACCCATATCAAACACTTTCAACTCATCCAAGCATTTTGGAGGCATGTAACTTGATTTGATGTCCTGATCCAAAGAGTTGATTCAGAGAAATGATCAAACAGTTTTAAAATCAGATATTCAAATCAGTATCACCCAGCCCTAATAACTAATACTAAGACAGATACTCCAATGATCTGACATAGGATATGGCCATTTCTCTTTGGTATATATAGGAAATGCTTTCTGTGGCCCAGGGAGGAAACAGCAGAGAAGAATTACCTTTTGCCTACCCAAAGCTCTGTATGAACATCTCCTATATAATACATATACAATGAATGTCCTATTTCTTAGTAGAACTTGCTAGTATAAAATAAACAACCAATTAACTTAATCCCAATGGAGCTCCGGAAACACAGACAATGGATAAATATTCAACTATCACTTCCCTGCCAGATGTCAGGATGTGATCCTGATGATCTGGCTTTGCTGTTTCTTTCCCACTGTAACAATCCACAAGGCTAGGATGTGGACAGTTTATACAGCCCTGTAAAATCCCTCTTGGGCCATCACTTGAATAGACTTAATTTAGATTCAGTTCACAGCAAAGTAGCTTTGAGATTTCACTAGTCTCCTGCTCATAAAAAGCCCGTCAAAAACAAGAATAATAATCCTGAAATTAGGATGAGTATAGCAATGTCTCCCAACCACTGTTGGAAAAGAGAGTCAAAGCAATCCAACCCAAAAGGCATCATGAAAGGATCAAACTCTGACAAACGTATACAAAATTCACTCTTCTTCCCAATCATCTATTAATGGTTGCTATTCCTAATTGTACTTGGATTTTTGTTTTATACTGATGCACACCATTCAGAGTCGTATCTGTGTGAGTTAGGCACAAACTAAAGGTCTCATAAACAGATAAATTCTTGCATTGGTTTTTTGTTTCTTTTTGCTCTTGCTTGAAGAAATTCACCCGTTCAAGTTTTTTTCAAAAAGCCCAAACCAAAACAGGCACTAGGCAAACGAGACAACAAGGCTACCCACTGTTAGCTTATCTGTGTGTTTTTATGTGCAGAGTTGGCAAGAAGCCACCCTGAAACATTATGTGCTCGCTTAAAAACAATAATCAACCTTAGAGATGATCAGTGCAATTAATATATCCATGAACTCCACAAAATACTGTGCATTCACATTCATTTTCTTTCTTGGAAGCACACACACACACACACACACACAGAAGAAGAGCTGAAGTAAAAGAAACCTTTCATGAAGCATCAGCATAGGAAGAAAATGAAATTTAAGAACAGCATTCCACCAGGAGCATTAACGCAAAGGGCAGCAATGGGCAAATTTTTGTGGAACAACTATCTTTATTTTTTTAAAAGAGACACTGACATTCTGCTTTTGTTTTACAGGGCTGGAAGCGCTCCTTAATTAAAATAAGCATAATTATGCAGAAGCAGCAGAGCCACAAGGATTTAAGAAGCACCAAAATTAGTCACATGACAGTCAGAATCATGGTAAATCTAAATGACAATCACAGATGCAGGGAGGAAAAAAACCTCTGCAGCTTCATTCGAACAATACCACCTATCTCCAACTTATCTCATACAAGATCCTTAGACATGCATGGACTACAAATCCCAGAACATGCCCATATAAACAAGGAATCCTGAGAGGTACAGTGCCAACAGCACATCTGGAGATCACAAAGTTGGGGATGACTGAATAAGCTACAAGGCTACAAGTCTTGTATGCATCTGGCACAACCATTGATAAAACAATGCCTAGATGCGTGGACTGGCCCAAAGGTTGGCTCCCAATTAGCCAGTGTTTTCCCCCTCCCACTCCATCAAGATTTTTGTTATCAACGCATAGCAAGACATGAAAGTCGATCTGAAAAGATTTTTAAGGATGAGAGATTTAGTTCTGGATCACTTGAAGCAACAAGAATGCCAGGATGCTATTAAACAACGTTGGGAATCAACAAACTAATTCATGATCAGGAATTGAAG